GTTTAGCGCTCTTGCCCGAGTATATGCTTCCAATTTTAGATTTAAAACAGTTCAGATCTGTTCCTGTGAAGAATTTGATATACAGCTCAATCAATTTCGCTGAATTGTACAGTACAATAAAATTTGAAAATACAGTTTTGTGCTTGTGTTTAAGAATAATGAAGTTTTGGTTTTACAAGTTTCTATATATCAGTGTGTAAATCATATTGTTGATATTCTATGAAATGTTTGTATAAGTTTGGGCACAGTTGTTTACAGGCCAAAGATCTGTTCTGACTTGCAAAAGAGCACTCTTAAAGGGGGCATAACACACAGTTTCACCCAATCTCATGTTAATCTTGAGTACCTATAGAGTAGTACTGCATCCTTCATATCTCCAAAAAGTCTTTAGTTTTATCAGATTTATAAAAGAAAGATACAGCTTTACGATTCTCTCCGCTCCATCTTGAGCTCCTGGAGATGCGCCGTGGGCGGAGCTAAAGAGTGATGAGCACTTGAGCTCCGACTGCCAACAAAACAGACATTTGATGCAGTTTCACGTACTGTCTACAGTTCTGAATCATGACCGGGATCTTTTATAGCTGGGACCGCTCCATCTTTCAGTATCAAACGATGTGCAAATCCAGTGTCGAACTGGGCCTTGTTTATAAAACGTTCATCAACCAACACACTTGTGAAACTCCTGAAACGTTGCTGCCCCGGAAAAACAAGCTGCATCCACGGTTTACATAACGCTGGGTTCTTTAGGAAGCTGAACAAAGTTATCTTTCCCTTACAACCAAAAACACACTTCTTTGGATTGGAGACATTCTTCCCGAGCAAGTCCCGTGCAGCGCTGTCGCCGGATGAAGCGCGTTGATGGGCGCGATCTCGTTCTCGCTCTGGTCGATACATGCGCGGGCGCGTTCTTCCGGGAGAAATGCCCATATAAGGAGTTCCACCCTCGTCTATGTCATGAAGAGCCACGATCGGGAAAAAAACTCTCTGAAACTTGTACGAACCCAGAAGTAAGATTTTTGGCACAGAAATACTCTCAAACAGTTGCATTTAATATCAATTTAAATGATAATACATTTGATTTAATTGCAATTAACATACACTTTCACTTTAAAGTGTATTATTTTTGTAAAAGGTAAACTTTTTTTTGGTGGTATAACAGTTTTTTTGGGGAAGAAAAGTATGCTAGAATGTACTTCTCTGTATTTGTCCTTAATTTTCTTTTCTTACTTCTCATTCTTTAAGGAGAACTTAAGAAAACTAATGACAGATTTCCAAACGAATGCAGTCTGAACGTACCCATGGAGGCCGAACGGATGTCCCACTATTCACGTCCTCCGCAGAACGCCGACATGTCTTCACTGAAACAATTCTTCACATCTTTTGTTTTGGTAAATCGCAGATAGTCTGTAAATGATATCCTTAAAGAGATAGTTCACCCAAAAATGAAAATTCTGTCATCATTTACTCACCCTCAAGTTGTTCCAAACATGTATGAGCTTTTTTCTTCTGTTAAACACAAAAGAAGATCATTTGAAGAATGTTGGCAATCAAGCAGTTGAAGGTAGCCATTGATTTCCACAGTATGGAATATAAATACTATGAAAGTCAATGACCTGTTTGCTTACCAATATTCTTCAAATTATCTTTTTTGTTGTTGTTGTTCAACTTGAGGGTGGGTAAAAGATGACATAATTAAAAAAAAATTTTTTGGTTGAACTATCCCTTTATTGTTTCTAAATGCTTTGTAATTTATCTTGACGCAAACGACAATTTAAATATGTTAATTTTTGATCAACTTGGAATGTTTTGCTAGATTTACTCTATTTTATACAGGCTTTGTCTTGAATAAGCTCAAATTAATTTTTGCTGTAAATGATTGGCAGTTTATTTCTTTTTAGTTTGTCTTCACACTATATTTGATTGCGAGTGTAACAGGATCAGGTACGTGTTCTTGAAATCGAAAGCCTTTTTCTTATTCTGGAATCTGTATCAAGTGTGAATCTGTTCATGTTTGTATGATCAGTAGGGTGAAACTTGTTCACTGATCATGGATTCTTGCCAGAGATGGAAATAAAACAACGACTTTTGGCATAATAGTCATTTATTAAAATATGATGGAAAGATTCCAAGAGCTTGTATGGAAACTCTTTATGGCAAGAGGTTACATCAGAGATGCGGGTCTGACTGCGGCTTCCAGCGCACAAACAAGAGAATCCCAATCCAAACATTCAGGCAGGTAAGCACACATCCAAAGCAGCTGCAGGACTTCCGGTTGTGGGGAACAAAATAGGAACGAGGGGCACTGGATTTCTGAAGATTGTCGGTCTGATCAACACATAACACAGTAGAGTCACAAAACGAAGCAAATACAAACCAATTTCCCTAGAATTGATAAAGAAGTGGCCTTATGTACAGATGGGGGCATAGATGCCATGCAGCAAATATGGATTAAAGCAGTTATGCTCATACAAAGTACTTTCTACAGCATTTTTGTCTGAAATAATTTACATTGATAAGGTGTGTAACATCAGAAAGATCATTACAAAAATGCGTGATGATTGGGTTAAGTCACCATTGTGGTCATTTTCACTGCTTTTTAAATCAACACATTTCATTTCAGGTGTGATACAACAGCCACCTAAACAGTTTTTTACTGTGTGGAAGAAAATTTTGACCTTTTAAAGTCAACACGAAATGCCATTTGCGACCCAATTTACTTCTGCATTGTGACATTTTTCCATGTAAAGCAGGTAATTTCATCAGGAAAACTATGGCGATACTTATTTTGGTGAAATGGCCGTCACATGCAAAAATAGAGCTGAATGTGAGTTTGCAGTGGATTTTGAGAAACGACTTCCCTTCTGAAACACCAGCACCTACTTTTGAGAAGACTTTTCATAGGAAAATGAAGGCTGAAGGTCAAGTCTGTCGTGAAAAGTGCATCTTGATGTATACTAATGGTAAGGTTTCTTCATTATCATCATTTGCAATTATTACAGTACTGTTTATTTATATTAATCTTAATTTTGATTCATTTACTGCTTTTATTTTGCTTGGTTTCTTTTCCTTCGGTTTTTGTTTTGCTTGTCTTTGATTTTGTTTTGTTCTGCTTTCCCTTCCTCTGTTTTTTTGTCTTCAATCTGCTTTTGGTTTGTTTTGTTGTTTTGCCTTTTGTTTTGTTTTGCTTCAATTTGCTTTTTGTTTTGTTTTTTATTCTGTTTTGTTTTTCTTTTTGTTTGTTTTGCTTCAGTTTGCTTTTTGTTTTGTTGATTTGCTTTTTGTTTTCCTTTCCTCTGCTTTTGTTTTGTTTGCCTTTTTTTTTTGCTTTTCTTTATAATTAAATAATATTGGCCATAACATAACATTATTTTCTGTCCTAGATGACACCAGCCTGATAGATATGGAAGTAAATTGGATCAATTTTGATTTCATGTTGACGTTAACACCAATTTTATATAATACAGTCAAATGAAGCGTTCAGGAAAAACATCGGCAGTCCCCAAGTATCAAAGCTTGCATCCGTTCATTGTGAAGCAAACAGGTAAGTACAAGTGAAGGACAGACGCTGTCTTTGGTATAGAACACAGACGCTATCATAAAAACATTCAGTGAAATCCCACGATACTCTTGATATTTTACAGTGGCAGGACTGATGGTTGTTTAATGTGAATCACTCAATCGCCATTTAGCTCCATAACTGCATCTCGTATCTACATTTTTCAAAACGTGCTACAGTAAACAAATACATTTAGTCATGACCCCACCCCACTGTGCAGGAACACATGGATGAAACCAGAACAATAAATTAAGCTTAACCAGTGACGTACATTTCAAACGTAGAATGTAAAAACAGATATCCACAGAAATAAACCAGCACAATTTAGAAAAAAAAAAAAAAAAGAAGCATTTCGAAACTCATTATTAAGTGAGATTCCTCTCTGATTTAGTGTCTCACGACATAATTAAGTACTGGTTAAGAAAAACGAAAACTGTACACACCTAAGAAAGCAAACAAGAGGAATATAATCTTTTCTGAATGGTTTCGTTTTTATATGAAATCATTGCTTTGCAATTGAACGCATCACAGTTATCTCCCACATGACCACATGAATGTAAACACCTCATTTCTTTTCAATTGTATAACATTAATTCTTTATATATATATATATATATATGTATATATATATATATATATATATATGTACTTTTTATTTTACATATCATAATTCACATCAGCACGGTTAGCTAGCATGGAAATGAAATAAGGCAAGACTCACATAACTGTGACATCACAAATTATTAATACTGATAGTTAAGGTTGTTTTTTTTTTTTCCTTTTTTGTTCTCTGCAGGCTTTGGTCTTGTGTTGACGGAGGCGGTATTTCTTCATACTGGCTCTGAGACTGCACTTTATTCACGTTCACATTTGTTGATGAGCAAACTGCTAAATATTCCAACCGAGCAGAAAAATCTACACCAAAAAAAGAAAAAGGTGTTTGTGAGGTAAATGTTTTTAAGCATTTTTTGAGGGTGAATCTTCCAGGTCACACTGCATCCCACAAATTCAAAAAAGAAGAAATTATTTTTAAATTATATTTTTATAGTTGCATTTCTTTGGTCATTTTTAATAATTATTAATTCCTGTTTCCATGACAATTCAGTATTTTTACTCCCAAAATTTTGTTTATTATGAATTATTTCATTAAATTAATAATACAATTGTTAAGAATTATTCATTTTTATTTTCATGACAATTTAGTAGTTTTACAACCAAAATGGTTTTATTACGTATTTAATTTTTATTATGTCATGACAATTTAGCATTTTATTCCCAAAATACTGTTTTATTGTGAGTTGTTATATTTTTATTAATTGTCACGACAATGTAGCACATTTAACTTCAAAATTCCTTTTAATATGAATTATTTGAATAAAATTAATAATACATTTGTTAATAATTAATCATTCTTGTTTTCATGGCAACTTAGCATTTAGCACATTTACTTACAAAATTAATTTTGTATTGTGAATTACTTTTTATTCAATAATCATTATTTCAGTTGACTTTGAATAAAAATACGATTAAATACAACCCAGATGTGTTCTTGACAGGTTTTGGGATTTTCATCCTTTTCTTTTCCACTTTTGGAGAGAAAATATTGGTAAAAGGAGCCTCAGAGTGTCAAAGAAGAAATGGCTGCCCATTTGAAAAGAGAAATAGGATGCTTTGTTTTTTTTGGTGAGGGGCTGGAATAAAGTCTTGGTTGGCGCTAATGCGGGTAATGGCTGGTTGTCCATCTTACCTCTGCCTACTGGCTCCAGCCCAGCTTGTGTGCCTTAAAACAGACAGAGGAAGGCCACATGGCCAGGCCCTAATGGAAACTTTGGGTCAATGCTGGCAATTCCAGTCTTGAAAGAGCGCCCAGTCCTTTCCCGGTTATCTTAAACCCGCCACCTCAAGTCTGAGTGTAAGGTGGACGTTTCGATCAGCTGCACACAGAACAAATAACGACTGACAGTCGTGGTTCGACAATACTATGACAAATCCACAGCCTAGAGGTCATTATAACTCTTGATTTGTTCATTTAATTTCTTTACCAGAAATGCATCTACCTTTCGAGCCAAACCCTCGCTTTCGGGTTTTCAGGTCCAAAGTGTCCAGCTCACCGCAAACCCATGCAGTCAGTGCGCATGTCGTGCACATTTCATCGTCTGGTGATGACGCTGGACTGAGGTGGTGCTGGGAGCAGTGTGTGCGATGTGTCGAGACGAAAGGCTCGCCGCCGGTCCTCAGGCACGTTTGGCGTGCAGCATCTCTATAAGTAGATTGTTACAGGGCACGTCACCGTTCAGGTGTTTGTAGTACAGATACTCCTCGGCCTGCAGGCTGATGGCCCGGATCTCCGGCAGCCGCAGCAGCAGCTGGCCGAACTTGTCTGTCTGCTGAGGATAGTTGCACATGACGTAGTCCAGCAGCGCTGCGTTGACCTGTTCCTGGACGCTCTCCACCAGGTGGAAGTTCTCCAGGTTCTTGACGTCTGATGAGATGAGATAAAGACAATTTTGTGGTTACTGAAATGTTTTATGTAATGTTTTAAATGTTGGTGTTTTATACACTACTGGTCAAAAGTTTACAATAGTTGTATTTTTTATTCTTTTTAATGTTTTTGATAATCAGAATCAGAAAACCAGACTTATTATGCTTACCAAGGCTGCACTTATTTGATCAAAAATACAGTAATATTGTGAAATGTTACTGCAATTTAAAATAACTATTTTCTATTTGAATACATTTTATTCTTGTGATCCAAAGCTGAATTTCCAGCATCATTACTCCAGTCTTCAGTGCCACATGAACCCGCAACCTTCTGGTTATAAGTCCAACTCTCTAACCATTAGGCCACGACTGCCCCTAAATGCAGCCTTTGCGGGCATAAAAGACATCTTTCAAAACATAATATACAGGTACATCTAAAAAAATTAGAATATCATGAAAAAGGTCAATATTTTTTGTCACTCATTTCAGAAAGTGAAACCCATATATTATATAGATTCATTATTTCAAGCCTTTATTTCTTGAAATGTTGATAATTATGGCTTACAGATAATGAAAACTCAAAATTCAGTGTCTCAGAAATGTATATTTACAGTTTTTTTTATTTATTCCATGCTTAAAATCTCTGGAGATTTTGATGAGAAAGCAAATTAATTTGGGAGAAACAGATCTGATGTCTTTCATCAGATTTTTATGCTCTACATTTTCCTTGTCATGTCTTTAATTTATGGCGTGTTAATGTGTTGCAGTGAGCTGCATGTGTTCTTGTGTTTCAGATGAGGGTGTGGATGGTTCTGTGATGGCTGGAGCTGCTAATGAATCCCTGGAGTGTGTCTCTATTTAATCAGGTTTTGAGGGGCCACCTCATGTGATCTTTTATTTATCCCTTTGACCCGGGGTTGAACGGGAGCGTGGTCATCCCGCTGTAGTCCCACCTAATGGAGACTGCTGGGGTCCGACTGAAAGCACTCGGACCCACCCAGCCATATCTAATGAGCCAGCTGACACTTCTCTGCCTGCTCTCTTTTCCCCTAAAAATAATCGAGACTGCATCGGCCGACAAAAAACAGAGGGGGTGTAGGGGGAAGTGACTCCATCAGCAATGTAATGAGGTCTGTAGAACAAGCTGTGAGTCCTTCATGGCACTGGTGAGGATGTTTGACCCCTGGGTGACACCAGCAGGCACAATCAGGACAAGGAAGGGGGAGGGGTTCACCAGAAGATGACCAATTACAAATCTCCAGCTCCAGACGGGTTATTTTAGCCCTCGCGAAAAGCGGTTAACAAACAATGTGCTCCACAGGCCTGTCAGTCAAGTTGTTTTTGAGGGCGAGATGTTAAGGAAGCCTCTCAAGTACAGAGCAAGAGTGGCGGAGAAACTTAAACAGTCTGTCTGTCTGTCGTTCTGTCTATCTGTCTGTCTGTCGTTCTATCTATCTGTCTATCTATCTATCTGTCTGTCTGTCGTTCTATCTATCTATCTGTCTATCTATCTATCTATCTGTCTATATCTATATATGTGTCTGTCTGTCGTTCTATCTATCTGTCTGTCGTTCTATCTGTCTGTCTGTCTGTCTATCTATCTATCTGTCGGTCTGTCTATATCTATCTATATATGTGTCTGTCTGTCGTTCTATCTATCTATCTGTCTGTCTGTCGTTCTATCTGTCTGTCTATCTATCTATTTGTCTGTCGTTCTATCTATCTATCTATCTGTCTGTCATCTGTCTGTATGTCCATCTGTTTGTCTGTCTATATATTGTCTGTTCTGTGTTTCAGTTTGTTTCATGCCAACTTGCAGAATCATTTTTCTTAACTGAATGAACCGATTTGCTTAATTTCCAAGTGTAGTTACTATGGTCCTTTGTTCCAAATTTCTGCGAGTGAGTTGTGGCTCTTTTAATTTTCCACACTAATTAAAGAAAGACATTACAACAAAAAGTCAAATTTTAATTGCTAATTATTGTGGGGCCACATTTGAACATGAAAACCCGAAGCACAGGGAGGGGTTAAAAGAGTTGACTGATCGATGACAATGGCTTGATCTCTTCTGCCCCCAGCAAGAGAGGCAGGTTGTGAGGAGAGAATTAACGTGTTTGTTTAATTTATCCACGACAAGAGACGCTTAATCATGCCCTGCTGACAGATACAAAAAAAAAAGCAGGAAAAACGTACAAGCAGCAGTTATCCAGTCAGGTTGAAGCATCAGATGGTAAGCACTCTTATTTTCTATCTCAACATTTAGCCACGGTGGGACTAATTATCAACTTTTTCTCTTTTTTTTTTTTCAGCCTTAGTGCACTATGGCCGGGATGTAGCCTGCCTCTAAACCCTTAGGTCCTGAGGAATTCATTGTTCATTTGACTAGCGCTCATGCTAGACGACCCTGTAGGTAAACCTGCACCACCCGACGCCTTGTGATATGCTGGGATGCTTTTTAATTAGAAAGGATTTTCTAAGTGAAAAAAGATAATTCTACAAGAAATTCATGCCGGCAACCCCCCAAAGCCCATGTGAGGTTCATGTGTATACTGACATGGATGCCCAAATATAGCAAGACCGCATTCGACATACACGATCTTGTTCATCAGCTAGCTGCAGTAATGGCATATTGATTACAATTTGTTAGTATGCATACTGCAAATGACGATATACAAGGATATGGAATTTCACCACTAATAGTTTAGTCAATGAGCAATTAAATCACAATTCCAAATTTGAAAGGCAAATGATAAATCCATTGACATTTCTAGCAGGGAGATATTAGTGTAATGAATGACTTCCTGTTGGAAGCTGATCAAAAACAAATATTGTTTAAAAGCAGGGCGATTCAGGACAGTATTGTGTATTTGTAAAAGTTATGATTCTGTAGAGAGTGTGTACAAAGAGTTCCAAAGGGCAAAATAGCTCCCTCCCTTTGGCTTTACAGCATGCTGTAATCATATAGACAGTCAAGTATGTCAAAATTTCATCTTTATTCATCATTAATTTGATTCGCACCAATCAGGAACTGGGGTGGTGCATGAACTCCGCTGACCTCCAAACACCCGTTTTTCATCTAATCCAGCCCCTGAAGCTCTGCTCATGGCCAATGTCCACCTGGTCAATGGTGATAATATTTACTCAACGTGTTTTACTTCTGTTTAGGTGGTTTGGAAATATTTTGAGAGCTTTTGGATGCAAAATCAGTCGCAACAGTGAACCATACAAACTTTATTCTCTTTAACATTGCATATCAATGAGCTCATCGCTTGTTTCTTCGAGGTTTGTTCTTCCTAACTAAGCCACGTAAAGCCAGGAGAGACATGAAGGGCTCAATCTGCTCATCCCTGGTCACCTCTGACTGCTATGAAAGGGAATTAAACAGGACTGGTACAGTTGGGGATATATTAAGTCAAATGTAAGCCCGTCATAGTGGCGCTGAGCAGGTAGAAGAGACGTCCCAGTCGCCCAAGGATGGTTTTGATGCCGCACACTTGACGTGGAGAGGGAGGGTATAAAACGCCTTAGGTGTGATGAAAAAAACACGAGAAGCTGGGGCAAACGTTTCTAGTTACAAATGCTAGCTGAAAGGCACTCTGCCTGCTCTTAAGGTGAGGGGAAATATATTTACATCTGCTTATTTTGGTGCAATCACTGTCAGGAGCGCGCAGGTTCAGGGTGTGGGCTGAACCCACGGTAATGATCATGATAAAACTCTGTTTGGAAGGTAATAAATGAAATGGCTTCATCAACAGTTATCTATCTGTCTGTCTGTCAGTCATTCTTCCATCTATCTATCTGTCTGTCTGTCTGTCATTCTTCTATCTGTCTGTCTGTCTGTCTGTCATCTATCTGTCTGTCTGTCTGTCTGTCATTCTTCTATCTATCTATCTGTCTGTCTGTCATTCTTCTATCTATCTATCTTCCATCTATCTATGTCTGTCTGTCTGTCATTCTTCTATCTATCTATCTATCTATCTATCTATCTATCTATCTGTCTGTCTGTCTGTCATTCTTCTATCTATCTGTCTGTCATTCTTCTCTCTATCTGTCAGTCAGTCATTCTTCTATCTATCTATCTATCTGTCTGTCATTCTTCTATCTGTCTATCTATCTTCTGTCTATCTATCTGTCTGTCTGTTTGTCTATCTATCTTCCGTCTATCTATCTATCTGTCTGTCTGTCATTCTTCTATCTATCTATCTATCTATCTATCTATCTATCTGTCTGTCTGTCTGTCTGTCATTCTTCTAACTATCTATCTATCTATCTATCTATCTATCTATCTATCTATCTATCTATCTATCTATCTATCTATCTATATGTCTGTCTGTCATTCTTCTATCTGTCTGTCTGTCTGTCTATCTATCTATCTTCCGTCTATCTATCTGTCTGTCTGTCTGTCTGTCATTCTTCTAACTATCTATCTATCTATCTATCTATCTATCTATCTATCTATCTATCTATCTATCTATCTATCTATCTATATGTCTGTCTGTCATTCTTCTATCTGTCTGTCTGTCTGTCTATCTATCTATCTTCCGTCTATCTATCTGTCTGTCTGTCTGTCTGTCTTCCGTCTATATCTATCTGTCTTCCGTCTATGTCTGTCTGTCTGCCTATCTGTCTGTCTGTCCGTCCGCCCGTCCGTCTGTCTGTCTAAGTGTCTGGAAAACCATCATTTTGAGAGGCGGATCATTTCTGAACCGCCAGACAAGCCTCTGAGACTCTCTCGACTCCTTCCTGTCCATCTTTATCTTATCACGATCGCCTCTGAGCTTCTTTATATTTGCATTCAAAACGTTTTCGTGCCAGTTGATTGCATGTGCAGAAATGGGGAGGCACGTTGAGCTCTTCTTGTTTATAATAAAGTGACAGAAAATCATTCAGGGATCAAGTATCCCCAAAAACTCTACCTGCAGTCCATAGTGGAAACCACACACCTAATGAGGTCATTAAAGACAAGCCTCCATCAATATCTCTCTTTTTTTCCCCCTCTAC